CACCTTACAAGGTCTTGTTGAAACATCAGGCGCTTCAACATCAATTCGATTTGTCATCTAATTCTATTACATCTTTAATAATTGGAATTGAATCGGTTTTAGTTGTAGTTGCGTGGTGGCATTCCAGACTCTCGTTTAACTTTGCGTTTTGTTGTACAATCGAATTTTCATCTGCGACATCAAGGCTCTTTACTATTTCTTTGCCATCCTGTGGTAATATTTTTGTTGTATTATTTTCTATTTCATTCGTACATGTTACGCTTGATTCTTTTTGATCATTTTCTTCATTTTCTAATTGTTTTTCGTTACATTCAGTAGAAGTCGCATTGTTAACTGCTGAAGATTTTGATTCACTTGTTGAAAGTTCTGTTTTCTCTATTGCTTCCTTTTTGTGTGTACCCTCAGATCCTTTGCATTCCCAGTTGTTAATATTATTAGATTTCTCCAGTTCCAAATTGATTTGTTTATTTTCACATTCTAATAGTGCGAAGCTTTCTTGTTTCTGTTTCTCATTACATTTTGTATAGGAAGATTTTGTATCATCCTTTAATGCGCCTTCTGGATCATTTTCTTTGCTGGATATAGGTTTCATTTTGTCAATATCCACTTTTATTTCCTTGCATTGTAAAGGCTCTGCATGAGATTCTATTTGAGTTGGTTTGGGTTTAGATGTTGAATCCTCATTTTTCTTTGTAATCCCTTCGTTCCCACTCTTGACATTTTCAGCAGTTTTGTCATTTTGTTCATTATGGTCTGTTGCTTTTAATTTCAATACTTGTTTTGCAATTTTATCAAAAGGATTTGAATTTTCGTCTTGATTCACCTCAAAAAGTTCATCGACGTTGGTAATCATAGAGTTTTCTGATGATATGGCGTCATTGATGACGGGCTCTTCAGCTAATTGAGCAGATTTATCTTCATTTTGATCTTGTAAATGTTCCTTTTCATTAAGACACTTTTCTTCTGTGACTGAGCTCTCTGAATTGTTAACCGCCACATTGGCATTACAGCTATCAGGTTGTGAAGTTTTAACAAGATCCACAATTTCATTTATGTTATCATCGGTACCTTCTAACAGCTTGGGATTATTATCTTCAATATCTATACTTAGCAGTTTCTCATTTGAATCCTTAACTACACATTCATTGATTCTTTCGTCGTTGTTTTTGTTTTTATTTTCTTCCGATTTATTATCAATTGATTCTTGTTCAACGGTATTTGGTTTTTCTAAAGATTTTCCATCCTCATTAACCATAGAGGATTTTGATTGATTTTTAGGACCTTTTTCATTATGTAATGCGGTTTCTTTACTACTTATTTTACATTCGCTATCTTTTGACTGAATTTCTGTACCAATTATATCTGCATTCGTTCTTTCATTATCTGAATTTTGAGACTGTCGTGTTGGTGTTGTTTTTTCTTTAGACACTGTATATTAAAAAATATATAAATGAATAACTTGCAATTGTATATCAAAATACAATACCAACCTTTTGTGTCATCTGGTTCCAATTTAATAGAATTCTCTTCAATACTAATATCCATAATCATATTTGTAGGTTCTTCAATGGGTTTGCTCGATCTAATCGTTATAGCCTTGAACGATGTGTTGGCAGGTGTTTCAACTTGATTAAATTCGGTTGTTATCTCTCTATAATCGGTAAACATTTGCATTTCCCGTACATCCTCCTCGACACACATAGCGGCTGGATTTATTTCTCTTGTTATATTTTTCAATTTTGAAAAACGATTTAGAACGCTTGAACTCTCCATCAATGACACGCAATCACTATCTATCGTATCTAAGTCGGATTTGTCAACATTCCACAAATCGATGAGTGGTTGAAAACCTTGGGTTGGATTTACCAATACGGGTCGTTCCTTGAGACATTCTTTGATATTCTTTTTCGTGATTTCTGAAGTTTTCGAGTTGTCATCATCTCCAGCAGCAACAGCTGTAGCTGAGATATTTGTAGATTCTGATTCACAGGCAGATTTTGATTCATTGGACTTTTCTTCATTATCTGCAAGTTTGGCATCTTCTTCTTCTTGTTCTTTTTTCGCTTGTTCCTCTTCATCGGGTTTTTTCCTACGCCTTCGACGACTTAATTCATTGTTATAGAGAAAATTGGCCAATGCAGCAGCGGCAGTGGCTCGTGTTCGCCTTTTACCAGTCAAATATGGATCATCTTCTTGCGAATTGTCATCTAAAATAGAAAGGATATAAATGGAATAACATTTGATTAAATTAAATTTTGAAAATTTAGAAGTTTTTAAACCAATTTCAATTCTTTATAAAGTTAATAATTGGTATACATTGTTCTCTCACCTTCAATAACTTCTGTAGATTTCTTATTCCCTCTGCCCCGTTTACTTTCATAAACATCTTCATCATCTTCAAAATCGTCTTCTTCTTCACTCTCCTCCGTATCATCATCCATATCAGCTGCATTAATAAGATTTTCATAACCCTGCTCAATGGAGCCATAGTCCAGCTGTGGCCTATTTTTATATTTTTCATAATCAATATTAAGGTATTTCAAACGATCATTTGCTTCGGCCATGTTCAATTCAACAAAACGTTTCTTCTCTTCGGCATTTGTCATAAGAGCTTTACAGCGTCGCCTCAGCTCGTTCCATTCCACCGCCCATGAAAAACTTTTATTGCGTGCCAAAAACACAACAGTTATTAAATCCTTTATTAACGTTGATGGTAAACGCAATGAACTCAAAGCCTGAAATAATGGTTCATAATCTCGATGTTGTTCATCATGATTTGATAAACTGCTAATGGCCTTCACGTCAATTGTAGAACTCAATAGACCATATTTGGCTTCAATTTTATCCTTGCCCGTTACCCATCTACCTTGTTCATCGGTACGTTTCCTGTTGTTGCGTATGCCAAGCCTTTTAATGGCTTCATAATTATAACTGGTGGGATTTAAATAGAAGGCGGTTAACCAAAATTCTTGTTCAATGAAGGGGTGGTCTTGAAATATCTTCGCCAAATCCATATAGTGTTGTGACAGTTTTGTTTCTAAATTTAACATAAAACTGGTTGTTAGACCAGGATGATAACGCCAGGTTTCGATCATGTTCAATTCATGACCTATGATTTTGAAAAGCAGCACAATTTTAGCAAAATGCCAACCATGAAAAGTCTGCAAAAATAAGAAAAAACAATAAATAAGTATTTATCTGAAGCAAAAATTCAATTTTACCTTTTTGGATAAAGCATCATAAACATAATATAAAATTTCCTCATTGTTGGGTATATTTTGAAAAATTGGATCCACACGTAAATCATCTTGTTCTTCAGCATTTTGTGGCGTTTTTGACGATTCTATGCTATTACCAATAGGATCATCCTTGTTTTCATAATTTCCTATATTACTCATACGATTTCCTTTGCATATTTTACTCTTAAAATCTGTCATATTTTGTACGGTTTGTATAATATTATGAGCGTAATGTTGTGCCTCTTGTTTTTGTAATTCATCCATTATAAATTGTTCACTTTTTTCACGTTCATTGATATAGGCATTCATTAATCGTTTATATAGAGCCACATTTGCAGCAAAATCTTCATCGTTCATATTATTCAGCTCCATCAAAAGATTTCCATATAGATAGCTTTTATATGCCTGAGATATGACACCGAATAAATTCACAGGTGACACTTCAATTGAATTCCATATAAAGAAATCGAAGAATTCTTTTTTGTGTACACGTAAATGTGTACAGGTTAATGCTATGAAACGTGCTGGTGTATATTTCATATTATCCATGGCATATGAATTTTGAAGTCCTTGGCTATAGAAACGTATATTGTTGATCTGTAATGGGATGGGGAACATATTAATAACAATAATGCTCGTCATGAAAAAATGGTAAGGAAATTGTCAAGAGCTTTTAATTAGTACGCTCAGCCATAAGATATTTAAACTATACCTACCATATTATCAATTACGTATCCCTTATTATCATCTGCTTCATAGACTGCCATTAAATAGATGTGACAAATATATAAGAGGCAACGTTTATCCTCGGGCGGTACATAAGGTAATCTGGAACCACCCGTTTGACTCATTTCATTGTGATAGACTTTATTCCATGCAGCAATGACTTTCATACACAACGTTTTAACCATATCTATGGAACTTTGGTCAAACAGTTTAACTAATCGTAAAACTATTAAGGGTAATTGCTCCATTTTAAGATAGGCCATATCTACAAGAGAAAAATAGTATGAAACAGAGTTAAATGATTTGTGAAGCTGACTGAAATAAGGATATAACAAATAAATTGGTTTTTGGCCGCCTTAAATAATGATATAAGGTTAAAATCATATTGGAAAGAAATCTCCAATTTATATATTTGCGTAAATATAACAAAAATAAATAAACCAACTATTTTATTTTAGGTCATAGAGTAGAAAGCGGACTTTCGTTTGTGGGATGTACTCTCTCAGAGGAAACAATCATAAAAATCATCAGTACAGCCCCTGATATTTGAAACATACGGTAAACAATCAGAGATACTTTTCGGCTCCCTTCTGGATTTCTTTTATGAAATACAAATAATGAGTATGCCATATAAAAAGTTTGTTTAAATGACTGCAACCATTTATATTTGAAAACAGTCATGTCAGCCGCACTCCCAAATTTATTAAAATGGCATTAAAGAGTCTAACTAAAATTTACTGAACATAATTTCTTAAAAAATGTTCAGCGTTTCTAAAAAATAAGAACCAAAATTACGATACAAGAATAACTCAATATGTGTGGTAGTAAGAGCTCAATAGAAAGTTTAATATCCTCTTTCAATCCGATTTTTCGATACTGAAGTCCATCTTCAACGTATTATCCTATTATAGACTTTAGAAATAGAGTAATTGACGGAGGACGAGCTTCATATACTCACGATGCCATCTGAAAACAATTATTGAATGATTTATGATTTTGGATGCTACAGAAACATAAATCCATGATTTGATCTTACTTTAATACTATTTACATAACTTCAATGTAATTAAATGGTATCCTAACAATGGAGCTACAAAATTTGTAATTATTTTGAAGATTGTTATACATACCCTCATTACTAGCCATAGTTTCTTCCTTTTCAATTGTCAGAGCACCATCTTCCAGAGTTTTCTCTTTAGTAACATTTAACGATTTCAAATATGCAACCTGCCAGGGTGTTACATTGAACAACAGTAAAAAGTCCCAATTTATTTGCAACATATCTGGCATACGCATAAATAAACTGCGCGCCCGATTCAGGCAATGTATTAATGCATGCTTCCACAACAGTTTGCAACGATCCCATTCTTTGCTAAACCAAACATCTAAACTCCAGGCAACCAATATTTTTATAGTGAACTCCAGTTCTTCGGGCAATTCACAATCGTCATCCTTAAGTCTTAGTTTGTAGTCTTCACACATTTCCCAGAAGTACAAAAGAATATTCACACGTTCCTCTCCCATTTTGGGAAATATATCAACATCACTTTTGTGTATTATAAAAAGAAATTTGTGCTGAAAATAAAGGATGAGATTAGCACATTGTATCCTTCTTTGAGGAATATTTGTGTAGTTCATTTTTCACATGCACTCTTACCGCTGACATTTCATCAATGCCCATTTTAAAGGCGCAATCGAAGAATTTCTTCTCATTCTTGACTTTAAATGGTAGTATGACATCCATGTTGCTGTATTACGTCGTTTTGTTTATTATTTTATAGTTTATTTCATTATTTTCCTTCAATTTTTTTGCAGTTTTGTAAATAATTTTTTCTGTTCTACCGACGCCGACTAAATATAAACAGATGTTCAGCTGTTTTTGACATTCAGTGTTGTCAACATGTTGACAAACATCATTTTCTACAAGGGGTGTTCACATGGAATGGTTTGTTGACAAACATTTGTTTAACATTATGGAATTTTATGATATTTACATTGGACTTGTTTTGTGGAAATATTTATCTGATAATGCACAAAGGAAAGAAAGTTGGAAATTACAACATGATGTTAATATAAAATAATATTTATTTGAAAACACAAAATAATGTATATTCGTATAACAATAATACAAGTTAGTACAGTGGAAAATGTTAAATATTGTTTGAACTTTCGTTTCTATACTTATTATATGTTAAATAATTTATTTATTAAAAACAAACCAAAAATAGTGCCTTCGACATTTGTACTTAAATAGAAGAACATAATTTTTAAAATAATCAGAATTTTCTTATATGTGTGTCGCAAAAAATAGTTCGCTATAAAAAATTTCGTTATAATCGTGTTCGGCATAAACGGATTGATTTTTATGAAAAATAGGTGAAAGTGTTTGTGCCAGAAAACACAGTACCCATGGTACAATTATTCAAGGTAGGCCATAGCATCTTGTAAATTACAACTTTTTCTTACTGTGGCTTGTTATGCCAAAGTCATATACAAAATATGTGACTGTGTGTGTAATGTCTTGAAAAAGAAAACCTAATATATTCGAGAATCGATTTGTTTGAAGATGAATTTTACAATATTTGTAAGAAGAAATGTATGATTCATTCACGAATCAATATGACATATCCCCAACTCGATTTTGAAATGAAAACCTGACATTACATTCATTTTTCGCCTTTTTGGTAAAAAAGTGTTGCATTTGTTTTCATTTATTCTGACATTAGGTTCGTTCGTATAGTCAATAATTTGTACAAAGTAGTACAAAACGTTGTTCATTTGCCCAAAAGTCCAGTAAAAGTGAGTAAATTGAGAGAATATATTTGACAGTTTTGTCAGTAAGAATTTTTCCAAGATTATTGAGGAACGAACTTATTATTGCCCATAATGTAGAGGTGCATTTTCTCCTTTCTGACAAAAGCTACCCTACCTTGTATAATTGTACCATGACAGTACCTATTTCTTTTATGTTATAACCGATGTGTGATATAAACGTGTTAAAGGGGATATACATATAACACTTAATCATGATTTAAGGCTGAATCAGAACCCTATTAAAATTGGAGAAAATCGGTTCAGATTTAGATATAGTTCCCATATATATTTTCGTCCGATTTTAGGTAAATGGTGCACCAAAGTCCCTGAAAATCATTAGATTTGCACGAATTTGGGCATAGCGTACTAAATTAAGTCGACAATGATGTTTGCTAAATTTCGGGAAAATCGGTTCAGATTTAGATATAGCTCCCATATATATAGTTTCGCTGATTTTAGGTAAATGTTCCATCAAAGTCCCTGCAAATTTTTGTTTTGCACGAATTTTGGCATAGCGTACTAAATTAAGTCTAGAATGATGTGTGCTAAGTTTCGTGAAAATCGGTTCAGATTTAGATATAGCTCCCATATAGCTACGTCCGATTTTAAGTAAATAATGGACCAAAGTCCCTGAAAATCATTAGATTTGCACGAATTTTGGCATAGCGTACTGTATTAAGTGTAGAATGACGTGTGATAAGTTTCGTGAAAGACGGTGCAAATTTATATATAGCTCCTATATATAGTTTCGCCCGATATTAGGCAAATAGTGCACCAAAGTCCCTGAAAAGGCGACGTCTTTTAGGATACATATGTAGAATATACCCAAAGTGGTGAAGGGTATCATATATTCGGCGCAGTCCGACTTTACTACTTTCCTTACTGTCTACCAAACTACAGACGCGTATGAGAGAATTGTGTATCATCTTAGGAACCTTATCTTAAAACCCTATTGAGAGCACATGGTTCTTCCGAAGAAATACCAGCATCTGCAGGCTCTGTATTCCGGTTTCTATATATGGTCCTCCCGTTTATGTTTCCTGTCTAGGATGACAGCCAAATTTTTTGAATTTATTGGATATTTGCCTATCTCTCTCCCGTACATGGAAATTAACACCTTAGAATTTGCAGTGGCATTTGTGCGGGATATCACAGGATCAGTCTCGATCCTGTGATACCCCGAATAAAGGCCGTGTCCCATTTGTGGTATATCGTGAGTCCTAGGTCAATTTTCCAACGTTTTTTTTAAGGATAAAAAACCTATAGGCAGACAATTTACAATTACATAGCCCGATTTAAGGTGTTTTGAGTGTCCATCTCATATTAGAACTTATCAACGTCTTTACATGTTCATTTTTAATACTTCCACAGCAATAAAATCCATACATGTACCCTCATACGTACGTAATTGTTTGTATATTAAATGAATGTAACAGAAGTCATAAAAGGTCTTTTTATGCGACTATTTTCTCTGTCTTAATAACATTACAATTTCAAATAAAAACATTAGCCAGACATTCCAATGAAATTCTAATAAAAACATTCGTAAATGAACTTAAAGAGCATCTAATACAAATGCTCTTTTTTAAGTCTCTATGGATGAAAATGGAGCTCGTGGTATGTGCTAAAGAAATTCCTCTCCGGAATGAAAGCCCCCGCAGAATAAATTCAGTTTAATTAATCTCCCAATAAAATGTCTCCATTTCTTAAATGTCATTAGCTGCTGTTGAGCTTGTGCCGTCAAACCCAACTATCACTCACAACATTTCACATCATGCCCCTTAGTTTGAGTTCGATAAGCACAGTCGAACTAAGTTGCGTACGTGTGGTGTCCAAGGTTTTGTACGACGCATTGATCGTTTGAATTAATGTTACCACTCGTAGTACATTGACGTATACGCTAGAGATTAAAGAATCCTACACAGATCCGGACGTGTTCTATAAAAAATGATAATTGATTGTGGGAACTAATACCAGCCATGTAACAACAACCGGACATATCCATTAAAATCGATACACTATTTTCCATTGTCATTTTTCATGAGAATAGCAAAGGAGCTAAAGTGTTGACACATTACTTGATGTCTTTAGTGGATTGCAGTTGTTTCCATTGTTGTTATAGTTGTTGGCAAAGCCTTTTAGCAGCAATTGCTAAAGACCATGCCGTCCGTCACTGTTGTGAGGCCACAGAATACAACATACGTTTATAGAACTTGGCAATATGTTTCATATTTCTTTTTATGACGTTCTTTTTTTTTTGTTTTCGCATGGTCAATTATGTATGCAGTCGTATGAATGTGGTAGGATTTTGTGACACGATGGGCCCCAGCAATATTCCATTGATTAAAGGTTTCCTATAGGATTTCTATAGATTTTAAGGTGTTTCTATAGATAGAGATATGATATGGTTCATTTATATATAAAATATCCTTTTTACAATAGACTATCGCCTTTTTTTACATGGGTTACTTTATAAGGATTTATTTGACATATATACCATAGAATTGAAGATTTAAACCCACTGGGTTAATACAGCATTTACATTAGAAATGTTTACTGGAGGATTTATTTGGCATATATTCAAAGGAATTGAAAATTTAAACCCACTCGGTTAACCAAATCCGGTTCAATGTAAACGACCTTTAACGAAAACGGGTTCAATGTAAACGTACTATAAGATGATCTGTATAGATTGGCTATAGAATAAATAGAAAAACTAAAGAAAATTTATAAATAGTCATAAGTCTATAGTAGACGTATGTACAATATGAATTCTGAAGCTGTTCAATCTATTTCATGTTGTTCCATAGTTACCTATAGTTAATTCGTTCATTGGAACACGCCAGTTAATTCCGCCAATGAACGGAAGTGAACGTGGGCAAAAAGGAATGATGGGAGAAAAAGGAACTACATGACCCGGCCATGGCAAATTTCACATCGCAATTTCAAGTAGAAACTACGCACTTTGACAGTTAATTGAATAGTCAGCTGCGCTACATGTACTACCTATTTATAGTGCCATGATATATCCCACATTAGAGATTCATAATCGAGAACAAAATTCCACTTCCCAATTTTTCCTCTGGCCAAAAAGTCGATTTTAAAATCTCTCAATTTTTGTTCTTGAGTAAAAAATGGACTTTTCGATCTTTCGATTTTGTCAAATCTGTTAATAATTGATTTTCGACTTTTACCGACTAATGCAAAATCGATTAGCAAATTTCATTATACCCTACACAACTATGTTATCAGGGTATTATAGCTTTTTGCAGCCCCAAAAGTTTGTAACGCCGCGAAATATTGGTCCTAGACCCACCTTTAAGTATACCAATCGGCATATCTCGACTAGCTGTGTCGATCAAGACATGTATATCCGTCCGTCTGTCCATTATAATTTGTAAACACGATACAGGCCACAGTTATGGACCAATCTTCACGAAATTTTGCATGTAGGATGAGTTCTGGCCAATGAAGACCCCTATTGTTTTTGGGAAAGATCGGTTAATATTTAGGGGATGAAATGGACCAAATACTAAATTTTTTTTTCGGTTTTTCTGGTCGTCCAGAGCCCGCAATAATGGACCGAACATCATGAAATTTAGCATGGAGAAGGGAATCGGGCCAAAGAATAAGCATGCCTCTTTTGATAAAGATCGGTCAATATTTAGCGGTTCAGATGGACCCTGACTTTTGTGTGAAAAAAGTCAAAATTTGTATTCTATTGTATATATTTACCCTTGAAGGACATAGACCCGAGACGTTGATATTATATCCAAGAGGAGTGATTGACCTTTAAATTAATACCAATTATATTGTTGTATGTGCTCGGATATAGGAGCTCCACCTAAATATTTACGGGTATCTCCGTATTCGTATATTATTTAGTAACCCATTATCACTCTAGAGAGCGGAACTATAGCGC